AGATGGAGGGGAGAAGGAGCAGAAACTTACTAAACAAAACATTCTTGGTATTCCACAGATGGTAAAAATGGGTTACTGGTCCTTACTGCAGCAAGTGCAGTAAGACCAAGGTGGAAATATAAAAGGTAGTTAGACAGTAATTTTATTTACAGCAATAAAATACTAGGTACTATTTTAATGTAACATTAAATGACAGAGCCCATATATGTATTGTACATTCAATTTCAGTAGTCTAGACAGACTCTTTTCCAAGGAAAATACATTTTGATCAGTATTTGTGGTATGATTCATGGTGGTGAAGAGGCAAATAACTCTTTATGACTGGAAGTTGCTTTAACTTGCAGCCGCAAGAGAACAAGTCAGTGACCGGATGATAGTGGTGGAAACTCACATTTTATAGTAATAGAGAGCTACACCTTATGCTGAGTTGGAGGTTTTATATTCCCAGGACACACAGTCTATCATAAAGCATTCTGCCATTGTTTACAAATAGCAAGAGCTGCTTTGTGTGACAGCTCACAGGCGACTAAAATGTGCAGGCTCTCAGAAGCCTGGGGTGTGGTCCCAGGACTTAATAGGCTTTATGTCTGCCCCAGTGCAGAGGAGGCACTGCAGCTCTGTTTTTCCTGCATGTTACTGGTTAGAGCATTAGGAGAGATGCAAGTTTGTAAGCCTTATATTTCCAGTCTGACAAGCAATGCTGTACAATTTTGTATGTGCTTTGGTTGGATCTATTTTACATCTCTGTTTGTTTTATAACTCAAATAAAGGTAGAGAACACACAACTCTCTCACAATCTCAATAACAGTGATAGTACTTGCAACTATCACTGTGTTGTCTGACCCAAATCAAGAGAATGGAGATCTCTTAGGACTGTTTTAAGCCTCTACAGTTGCTGTCAAAGTTTTTTGAAATGATTGCTGAGCACATTTGAGGGCTCCTGTTGTAACCATGTGGAACAGAAGGAAACATGGTATTGAATTTTAAAATCCTAATGCTTAAAGTCTTTGTCCTCAGAACTTCAGAGATTTTAATTTTCATCTAATACACAATCTGATTCTGCAAATGGCACTATGTGAAATGACATCTTTGTCTGGATTGAAGCATCTCAAAATGAAAGGCTGAGGGAGCTGGGCCTGTCCAGCCTCGAGAGGAGTCCCAGCTGGGAGGGGCCCTCAGCCCTGTGTGTCCCTGTGAGCAGGGAGGGCTCAGAGCAGGGATCAGGCTCTGCTCTGAGGGGCCCAGCAGTGGCACCAGAGGAATGGGCAGGGACTGATACCCAGGAGGTTCCACCTGGACATGAGGCAGAACTTCTTCCCTGGGCGTTGTCCAGAGTGGGTGGAGGGTCTCCCTCACTGGAGATACTCCAGACGGGTGGAGGGTCTCCCTCACTGGAGATACTCCAGACCCCTCTGGACACAATCCTGTGCTGTGTGCTCTGGGATGGCCCTGCTGGAGTAGGGAAATGGGACCAGATGAGCCACTGTAGTCTTTTAGACCATATAATGTAATTGTTTAATGAGACAATGTCAATATAATAATTAAATGAAAAGCATGCACTGGAGTCTGGCTGAATTATTCTGTGATAATAAAGGACTGAAAGGAAGAAAGAGAGCTGTGATCATGAAGGTACTGAACTACTGGAGTTCATTTAAACCATCCTGATACAGGGCCATCAAGTATCATCTCCCTCACCTTTGTCATGGGTGGCTTTAAACGACTAAATGTTCAGTTTACATATAGATAAATGTTTAGGTGCCAGAATTCATTAGGTAAAGAGTCAGTGTTTCTGCTTGTACTCTTTGCTCTGTTGTATAGAACCTAGAAAATCTCCTTAAGCTGTTGCAGACTGGTTGTGAAAGCAAGATGTACTCTGTGTATTTGTTAAAGAACACCAGCTTTTACGGGAGTTATTGTGAGGAGAGATCTCTTCAGCTCTGATTTGTGTTTCAGAAGTTACGTCTTAGTACAGGCAGTTTCATGGTGCTTGACCATCAGGTTAAAAATACTCCACTTGACCACACACAGAGTAACCTTTTTTTAAAGTTAAATTTGCCCATGCTGATAGCTACAGAATTGTTTAAGACAATTGTTTTCAGCTTTGTAAAAAGGGTATAAGTGAAACTGTCTTGTCTTTTTTTTTCTCCTTCTTTTTTTGTTTTCCTTTACCCCACCCCCCTTTCAGGAAGCACATGGCTTATTGATTGGATGGCAGAATGGAAGTCTGTCTTCATCATCAGCTACATTTTCTTGCTTTTGGTGTAAAGACATGGAAAGGCCATGGAAGGAAATTGCCTCAGATTTTGCCAGGGGAGGTTTACATTAGATATCAGGGCATATTTCTTCATGGTAAACGTGGGTAGGCATTGGAATGGGCTGCCAAGGGAGGCAGTAGAGTTACCATCCTAGAAATATTCACAAAGGTGTGGATGTGGTAATTGAGCACATGCTTTAGTGGTAAACATGATGGCACTGGGTTGACAGTTGGACTTTATAGTCTTACAGGTCTTTTCCAAGCTTAAGGGTTCTGTGATTTTATGATGAAGAAATTCTTAGAGGAGAAAAGCAGTATTTGTATTGTACAGATATCCAAGCATATCAATCATATATTGCACCAGTCAAGTCTAATAGAGGTAAAACTAGAAAAAACAGAAATTGAAAAAAAGAAAAACACAGAAATTGAATGCTAAGAAAAGATTTTCATCGTTTGAAATGCAATACTTCCCTTTTATTTTTGTAGTGTTTACATCTTTTAACACACGCATACCTTGCTGTGAATTAATGGCTCTAGTTGGATTTTTGGGGAGTTTCTTTATTAAAGCATAAATACCATTGTATAAATTTGTAATGCTTGTATCAAAATTCACTATCCCTTGGTAGCTTGGTGCCAGGCTAGTACATTTTATGTGGAGTTATATTTGGAGAGAAGCACTGCATGAGACATTTATGTATTCCAAGACCAGTGGAGTTCCAGGGGAGATGTTTTGTTTTTTTAAATACAACCCTGCAGATATTGCTGTGATGTGTTTGAGAACATGTTGTGATAAGTTACTCTAGGTGTGTTGTGGTGACTTTTCATGCTGTTTTTGCCTCTTCATCTGTGTTTTTCTATCTGTGACTGCTGGACATGGTGTGTGACCTGGACTCTGGGCTCTGCTCAGCTGCTTGGGTGCTAATTTCCATTTGTAGAATCACATCTTCCGAATTGCTGAGATTCATCATGTGAGATTACTTATATGTTATATTATCAAGGCATCCTCTTTCTCTGCTTAGGTGGGTAGAGGAGATAGGCTCTGTCTTACGGAATATCCACTTGCCCATGCATTGATTTGTGTTCTCTAATTAAAAGAAAAATCTTAACTCTTACTGGTTAAGAACAAGCACTTAGTGGTGAAACTGTTTTTTGCCATGGATGCATCCACAGAATTGTCACCTTTTTCTGCATCTTCCTTCTTTGTTCAGTACATCACTGCTGGACAAGTGCAGTGTTGGTTGGTTTCACAAATATTGAGAGTCCACTGTGTGATTAATGGAGAAATTGTAGCTATTTATTACTGTACTGTAAATGGGTTCATGGCATTTAATCTTTGTTACAGTAAGAATGGTAACTTTACAAGATCTTGAACTTTTTTCCTTGGTCTGTAGAATTTTTTTGACAGACTAATCTCAAATAACCAAGGTGTAATTGATAGCTGAAAAAAGCCGAGCAAATTTCAGGAAAAGATTGGAATATAGTCAACCAGCCTAATGTTTCTTTGGGAGACCTTTCTCATTGCTGTATAGGTAAGAAATTCACGAAGGGAGGTAATACCCTGTTTCTAGGATTTACTGCCTCGTTATTTTTTTCTAGCAGGGAAGTATTTCCATAAAATGTCTGCTGGCATGCCCATGCTTGCTGTCCTTCAGCAACTCCTTAGTCAGCAGGGTGGGAACCAGATGAGTGGGAGAAACGGAAGCACAATGATGAGCAGAAAATAATTAAACCAGTGCAGATGTGCAGGGGGAGAGAACAGGGGTCTTAAGAACTAGAGGAGAATATAATTCAAGATGCATTATAGAGAATACATACATATTTTGGGCTTAAATATATATATATATATGTATCTTCAAAAGTTACTTTTTTCTGAGCCAAAGTGACCACTTCTTAGACTTGCTTTCTTGTTCTCAAGAGGACATATGCCCAGACCTGTGTAGGAAATCTGGCTGCCAGCTGGCACAGCAGCACGGCACCTTTCTAAGAGACCTAATTTTAGATTTGCAGAACCTGGCAGTGTTAGCCACCTCCATATGTATTAGGCTGTTGTTTGTACTATCTGTTAAACTGAATTTGAACATTTAATTTCAAGTTTCTTTGACAACTTATTAATAAGGGCCAGGCTATTGAGAGCTGTTGATAAGGACAAAAAAGTGTTTTAATTTCATGAAGTCTTTGGGTTCATGCTATTGAAAACATGCAATTTTTTTTTAAAATTTACACCTTTTGGTGGCTGGTCTAGGATATTAACCTGTGTGGTGAAATGTTTTAAATCTGTATTGAGAGGAGGCTAAAATAAATCCTTTGGAGCAAGAGTAGAAATTGGCCGTGTTAAATTCAGTGTCAAAAATGGAGGCAGAGCTATTTGGAGAGCTGGCTTTCACTTTCTGGGATAGATATTCTGGGATACAAGGTATTGAGCATATCATAACAGACTGTAATCATTTGTCCAGTTAACCAGAATATAATGTGAGAAGCATGGACCTGTCAGTTCTTGTAGTCACTAGTAGCCTGTGTGTAATACTCAGACAAGTTTTGGGTGTAATTCTAAAATATTTTGTAAAATTATTTGTGTTAGAAAAGAAAAACCAAATATTTATGTACAGTAGCAGTGAAATACTGCACCTAAAACTTCCTTTAGATGGATTCTGCAGCGTGTATCTAGAATATTGAAGTATGTCATTCTTGTGAAATTTATTAGTGTTGCTTTGAATTCTTGTTAATATATTTTCTGGATTTCTTTCAGCTCTTCGTTGTAGTCTCCAATTTCTTGGAAACATTGCTGCAGGAAATGGAGATTCCCAGAATAGCATCTGGAAGTGTGCTTTCCCAGATCTCTTCTTGTAAGCATGGATGCGGGGTTTCTTCCTAGTGTCATTTCTGTGGTTGTATTCAAAGCTCTTGTACATGATAGTTGTGCCTTTGTGAGAAACTCTGAAAAATAACTTTGGTGAGAATGGGCTGGTTGAGACCATATCCTGTAGATGTTTTTTGTTAGTTAACTGCAGGAGTCAGAACCTTTAAAAACCTGGTCTTTCTAAACTAACAGTAAATTTATTTCATTGAACAGAAACTGGAAGACAACTATTTTGAATTACGATCTTCAAACATAAGCTTTATTTCAGACATGTTTTCAAGTAGTTACACTCATTTCCAAGAACACAGCATTTTCTTTTCTCATTATGCTGTCTCTGTGCAGATCTGTCAGTATTGGTGGATCATATGTAATCTATAAAATTCCTTAATCTTCAAATCTTTCAATCCTGTCCCTGTCCTAACCTCACCAGTATATCTTCCTGGGGATTTGATAATATATGTGTAAGGAAACACTACATAAACTATTTTGTGTAGGCACATGACAGCATTGTTATGTTTAGCAAGATTTTTCGTAGTAAGCTGGTTACAAAGGCACTTTGATTCAATTTGGTAATCATTCTCCATGGGTTTTTGGAACCCACTTGTTAGCACCAGGAGTAGGAAGACCTTACCGTAAGAAAGCAGTTCCAATTTAGCATTGATTTTTTTAAACTTTCTATGAAGTTTGACCTTGTTGTAAGTTTGATATTTTTCCTTGCAGGTGACTTCTGTCCTTCTTAGGCAGTGGCAAACTTGTGGTTCTCTAAAAGACAGCAAAGAACAACTCAGCAAGCTCAGTGCCACTAGCCTGTTTTTCCAGGGTCCATTTTAACTTGCCCTTAACTCCTTATTTTCTCTTGAAGGACTTGCCTGACATATAGTGATGAGAAAATTGTCACTTATTGCTGCATGGTCCTGTTCACTTGCCTAAATTCAGAGCGAGTGAGAGAACTGCTGGATCCAGGGAATTTGACTGTGGCTCTTCATGTCCTGAGAGTCTACAAGGAACAGTTGGATTCTGAGTGGTCGTATGTACTGTTAAATTTTCTTTCTCTACACCTCTTAGTTAGGTGTTTTGTTGTGTAAATTACTGTATTAAAATGTCTAAACTTGTGACACTGCAAAGTAGTAAATGAAAATCTAGTAAAAAATTAGTAGTTTATAATAGAGATTATTTTCATGGTAATTTCAATGACTCTTTTGATTGTTGCTAAAATAAGACTCCTTTTTTTGTTGAGGACATAGGAATTTGTTCTCAACAAATGTTTTTGTTTTTTCCAATGAAACGGGGTTTTAGAATGCAAACTAATTTATACTTGTGTGCTGGTTTGTGGAGAATTTTTTAAAGCTAGCATGGAATAGTCATACAGACAGGTCATGGTAGGAGGACTTTTTTGTCTAATGCTTGTAAGTGCTACATAAAACCTGTTTTTTTGTGTTTTCTTTTTTTCCTTTTTTAACGTAACCGTTTTCTGTAGGCACACAGTTTGTGGTGATTGGGAATGGGGCTGTGGCTGACCCTCATCACTAATGGGCTACAACTGTGTAAGACAGGTGAACAATATTGAACGCAATGAAATATGGAGTGCTGCAGTGTACTGACCCATCACAAAAGGGTAGAGAGGGCACACAGGTGTTATATATGTAAGATGAATAGTATAGAAGGTTGTTCTTAAGAGCAGTAAAGTGCTGATGCTTGAAGCCTTCTTCATATCAGTCATGTCTCCACCGTCAGTTTTCTACTGCAACATGCAGTCATTTTTATACCAAAACAGGGATGGCTTTTTTTGTGAATCTTCATTTCATACTTAGGGCACCTAATCAGTGGTTTTATCCCTCTGAACTTCAATATTTTTTACTACTGACCATTCTTCTAAATATTGTTATCAGTTATGCCTTTGATAAATATGCTGCCTTATATAGCAAGGATGCACATTCAGCTAATTGTTACACCATGTCTTCCAAGAGGAAAAAATTGTTTGTATGTTTTTGTAGCATTCTTTTTATGGTTGTGTTTAAATTCAGAATTTAAATATGAAGGATTTTTGGTGTTTTAGAAGCAATATAGAAAGTCTTAACACAGACTTAAGATGACTGAATGAAAAGTAAATGTCATTTTATAGTTTGCTTTTGTACTGAAAGAAATGACCTAGAATTTGTTTGTGGCTCAGCTTTTTTAATGGCAAGGGCAATTTGCTTGGACCAAAATAGTTTTTAAAAAGCAAACTGTAAGTTTAGGGTTAGACGATGAGACTGCTGTTTCAAAAGTGACAAACTGAGTTTTTATACATGTTGACATGTGTAATTGATGACATAATTTGTCATCTGTTATTGATAGATGACAAAACTAAAGTGTTGCTTTTCAGATAATTATCCTGATTATCCTTAATTTTTTTTATGTGTTGAAGATACACTGAAATTTGTTTTGACTGTTACCAAAATTTTGGTGGTAAGATTATGTTTTAAAGATAAATGCAGCATCAAAATAAATGCTGAGGGATGCATTTCCCTGATCTCTCTAGTGTGAAGGAGATTCAGTTGATGTTATGGTGAAAATGTCTTATCTCCACCATGGATGTTTGATGTGGGTGGGAAATAGTCTCTTTCAGGGTAGTCTTGAAATGAAAAAGGGGCAAACTCTAACACTGAAAATTTGCAGCTTCAATTAGCTTCAGCTCTCATCCAGCTTCTAGATGTAGAAGATGTAGATGTAGAAGTACATCTACATCCCAGTAGGATTGCTAAAAGGAATTTACATGGCTGTGGCATTTGCAGAGAGCCAATGTCCTATTGGAAAGATTTGAGTCTCTTGTGCCATGGCTGGCAAAAGTACACAGCAACCATTTTATGGTATTATATAGCTGGACTGAAATACAGATTATTCTTGGAGGTTATGCACACTGCTAACTCACAAATGACTGAAATTAAGATGTTCTTACCTGAAGTTAAAAATAATTCCTGCCTACTTTCTTGTCTCTGAGCTGGAGCATCTGATTTTGTGTTACAACAAATAAGAAGTGACTGCCACATGTGTGTTTATTCTTCCTCTTGACTGGGCTTTCTTGCTGTCAGTTTCTGCTTTTAAGTCTTGGAACTCTTTATTTGAATAACTAGGTATGTTTTGGTCATAAGCAGATCATCTGTTCATTATTTCATTTGCTTTTATTGTGCATTGAACTTTGTGAAATTGACATTTCTCTAAGACAGTATCCAATGCATTCCACAAGTGAACAACTATGATGCTCAAACTGTTTTTGCAGTTGCTGCCATGAATTCTGTTAGGACAGAGAGAGGATATCCAGGCCATTGGCTGAAATGTAATCTCTCCCATGGAGTCCTCATTACTCCATTCAGCTAGCACATGTTGGGTTCTCTATTCCTCACCCATCATAGGAATGCAAGCACACCTTTCAAGTCTTATTTTGATGAGCTGACCGTTCTTTCTCTGTTAATAATCCTATATTCATGTGTAGAGTCCAGTTTCCCATCTTCAAGTTGGAAAAGTCCTTAGGAAAAGTTCAGGAGGAACCTCTTTCCAAGTGTGATGCTTTTTGCCTCTTCCACAGCAGTTCTGTAGACAGTTTCTATCTGAGGAAAGCTGAGATTGTTCTGAGCAGTTCCTTAGAGCATCTTTTTTAGAGGCAGCAGTTGGTGGCATAACTTTTCTTCTGTCTGCCATAAACTCCTCTCCCAGTTAGCGAGAGCAGAGGAAGGGTCTTTAAAGGCTGGATGTAGCTTTCTGGAATTTTCCTGTCACTTTTGCCTACTTGAGTCACAAGACATTTGGTAGAAGGCTAAAATTTTGGGTTAGGAAAGAGGGAATGTTTGGGGTGTTGGCTCTGCTTCCTGGGCGGGGTGGATCATGGGAGATAAGATCTCAGTTCAGCAACTTCTGATTCTAATCAATGATGGAAAGCCAAGTCATTCACTTCCTAAGCAGTTTTTGAAACAAAGAGCTGTTTTTCAGATCAGCATAGTGGAATTTCTAGACTAAGCTCTGATGCAGCTTTAAAATGTGTTTACAGATTGACAACAGAACAAAAAGTTGCCTTAGAACTTGAAAGAACAAGAGGTGACTGTGCTGTAATACACAACTAAGTGTGTTTCTCGAGTGATACACATTCTGTTAGGTATTTTTGTGGTGTGCTGTGAGCTAAGGAATAGTTAATAAAAGAGGAAGTCAGTTTTATAAGAAATGCCCCGGTCAAATTTTGTGTTCAGTTCTTCTTTAATCATGTTTCTTCAGATCAGACGGTCTGAAGGCTCACTTCATTAAGCTTGTGGTTACTTGTCAGCCTCAGAAATTCTTCTATCTCTGAAATCTGCGAAGCTGGAGAAAGTAATACACACATTCAATAAATACACTAATGATTTAAGAACTGGTATATCCTTCTCTTTCTCTTTTAGAAGCTTGATCTTCTCAACAGCTCCAGAATGATTTACATATTGCATTACAATTTGATTTACATATGCATTACATATTGCAAATTATTGATTTACATTTTTAATGTTAGATGTTGAATGGCATATTAAAATAATATTAACATATATTAGACAATGTATTTTTACACTGCCACTAAACTTCTATTCAGTACAGCTCCTGAACTGGTGTCAGGCTAGCAGTCCTGTATCTTGAATGCTGGGAGCTCATCTGAGGTTGCTGCTGCTGGTCTGACTCTCAAGAGCAATGATCTGAGGAAGCAGATGGTATATATCTCCAGCTGAGGTGTTTAAAAATATTTGTCTGACTGGCTGGTACCTGAAACACCTTTGTAGCTGGGCTTGTGGATAGTGCCCAGAGCTTGCTGCTTTGGAAAGCTGCAAGGTGTATGATGTTACAGAAAGTACTTCAAAGAGTAAGTCTTTGTAAAGTCACTAACTCTGCAGAAACAAGTTTGGTTCCTTTCTTGGATCTGATTTCTGACATACCCTAATTAACTGATCCTATCTCCTCAACAGTTCTTTGCTGTGCAGTTGTCTTCTAGACAACATGCTGTTCTTCGCAAAGTGAGCTACTGCCTGAGCTTTTAGCTCAGGAATTAACACCACTTAACCATGGTGGAAGGCATGCTGCTCCAGCCTGGTGCATCAGGGACCATTCCTCTCCTAACTCTAGTCCTGAAATTTTGGTCTTTAATGCAGACTTCACCTTTCAGGACAGGTTTCTTCTAGTCTGATCTGCTCAAGATCATGGTTGTGGGTTAGCATTCCCTCCAAAATGCTTCCACGCACAAAGTCTTTAAAATTTCTCAGTTCAGTTGTTTCCACCTTCTTGCAATCATTTATTTCCCTTTTCTTTTAGTGTTGCTTAGTTCTTTTTGATCTGTTCCTAAACAGCAGCAGATTTGTCTCCTAAACTCTTGGCTCTTTTGGGTCTCCTTCTTCCATCCCTCTCTTCCATCTTCTATTTCTGTTCAAAGAGATGAGCATGGTTTTCAAGTCCTTGTGTGACAGTAATTTATTTTCTGTGTATCTTCCATATTTCCAAAATATCTCTAATTACACACAAATTTAATTCTGGACTATTGATGTACTGAGTTGAACATAAAGAATCGTAGGATAGTTTGTGTTGGAAGGGGCCTTAAAGCTCATCCAGTTCCAAATTCCTGCTGGTCAGGACAGTAGAACTGAACAGCATTTTACTCACTTGATAAGAATAGCAGAACAGAACAATATTTTGTACTTAACAAATAAAGGAAAAAATGTGGCCTTGGAGAAGCAGACAAAAAAGAATTAATGCAAAATATAAGCAGGATACCAGTTCAGCTCTGCAAAGCTGACAATGTGGAAGTTATGCAAAACAATGATACTGCACTTACTCACAAGTGGGGGAGTCAAGGAGCAGCCACCTAAAAAGGACACTGGATGTTGAAGGGGAGTTACCCAAAGAGCCATATAAGGATTTCCAAATAGGGATGTGACTGTGTCAAAGAAAGTCAAGGAAGTTGCTCATGAATATGTAATCAGTGTGTGATAAAAATTCTGTTCACCTGATGATCAGGGCACTTAGCTGAAAGAAGGGTGCCCA